AGCCAAAGTGTCGTCCCTTTCTCTTTCGCGCGAGGGAGGGGTCTCAGTACCTTGAAGAAGACCAACGTATTTCTACCGGCGGGCAATTCGGTGCTCAATTTCAAACGGACTTGGTCACGGTCGGCGTCGACCGGCTGGGCGCATAGAGTCCTGCACGACGACTGCTCCAGGAAACGATCGAGGATCTCGCGATCCTCGACGTCCTCCTCGTCGTGTTGCACGGACGCGCTGAAGAAGTGCCCCGCCGTCGAGACTATCAGACGTCTGCGTTTGTCGGCGACCACCATTTCGCCGCTCGGCTTTTAAACGCGCTTTAAACAGAGTGTTAAATCACACGGGCGTTCCCGCATAGAGCCCGGCCACACGACCCCGGATCGTCATCGTCAGTCGTCACGGCGACCAACAATCAACACACAACACAGCTGTCACTATCGCTACACGCATCGTTGCACGTGCGCAGACACGCGTGACGCCGCTTCAATTCTGCCAGATAACTTTCTGTCTAATCGTGTCGCAACTTGAAAAAGAAAGAAGAAATCGTGCTTTAATTCAAGAAATCGCGTTCACAGCAACGAGGACGAAAACCTGACGTCTCTATGGTACGCGCAGATGTAGGAGGAATAATTAATATTTAGAGATCAGCGACATATAAAGAAGATATGTAAAGGAGACCGTTAGACTACAGAGAATCTGTTCTGCTTCGGAGAAAAGGAGGAGCGCCATATTATTCAGATCCAAGCGCATTAATTCTCGGCAAACGCGAGTCATGCTCCGTTCTGTAGATAGCAATACACTATCGGGCGGTTCCTAATTGCGTTCCTAATTAATCATCGCCCACGACATCAGTAAATTTAGAAATACTGTAGATTCCAGCTTACTAAGAAAAAAAGCCATGCTCCATCGAATGGAAAATTGAGTTACGTCCATATCGTGTGGTTTATTTTTTGGGGGGGAAAAAGTCTTATTTTTACTCTTAATGCCTTTCGACGTTTCGTTAATAATTGCTAGCACGTAAAGTCTCAAATTTAATTCGAAGCTGAAGAAAAACACCTCAAGTAACACTTTAGAAGCATCTGTATCGATGCTTTAGCCTCAGATTGAATTGACACGTGCAAGGCACGGATCTTAAAGTTACAAAATTATTATTTAATATGTTAATGTGTCAATTAGATACTGACGCCGGTATTTATAGTCAGAGAGTCCATTCTGTATCTTGCACTATAGTGCAAATGCTAAAGATGAATAGTGTCTCTTTCTAGCCGTCACCTTAGCAGGAGACAAGGCCGCTCACTATTAGCATTTTCACTGTATTTTAAGATACAGAATTGAACTCCAGTACGGGGATTCTGTGACCTGCTATCTATGATAAAGACGCCAAAAGACCGTCTTTACCTAAAGATGCTGTATGGAACATTTCATCGACTACACGGAATCGTTTCTTAAGCCGGTCTTGAATATATGATCTGACTATGAATACCAGCCTGAATTTGAGATCGCCTTAAAAAATATTCACTTCCAGAGTTAAGGCTCTTTACCCTCAGGCGAGCAGCGATTGTGCATCCATCATTTCCAGATGTACAAATTACGGAGTCCAGAGTTACAATAAAAGGTGTACGAAACGTATAAAAATGTATAAACGTCCGAGAGAAAGGACGTTTCAATAATTGCTAAGTACATCGTCGAATTTCACGAACGTCATAAATCCTTCGTACAAAAAGAGTTAATTAAGCCTCCGCTACAATGATTCTCGGTTCTGTCTACAATGGTCGTAGTCGTAGTCGCTCGATAAGAATTGACCAATCGCAGTCGATTATTCTTACGACTACGACCATTGTAGACAGAACCGAGAATCATTGTAGCGGAGGCTTTAATCAACTCGCGCGCGGATGCTCCGGAGGAAAGAACGACTCTCTCTCTCTCTCTCTCTCTTCTTCTTCCCCCCTCCTTCGACACCGCAAGAAGTCTCGAGATACGCCAGATAACGACGCGTTATAAAGCATTTCCCGCGCGGGTTCTCTCTCGGTTTCTTTGGCTGCATTATGCGGACGCCTTGTAAATTTATGGAGCGTGCATGCTTGCGCCTGACGAGCGCTTACGCGATCGAAACGTGTGCGTGCCGCTGCGGCCGCTCGCACCAAGGCCGCAATGTCGAACCGCCGCTCCTTCGGGCCCACGGCGAACGCGATTTTCCGCGTCCCTCCCGTTCCGGACGTCGCGACGCCCGCTCGCCAGGCCGCCAGGCTTCGTCGCGGGGCCGGGGGAGAGTTTCGGGGAAATTCTCAGCAAGGGGATCGGAGGGCGGCGGCCCTCAGAGGGTTCCTTATCGTGGCGAACGGACTCCGGTCCGCCTGCCGCGGTGCTCCGACACTGCAAGGCCGAGCCGACCGCGATGTTTCCTCATCGGCCAGCGACGCCACAATAATGATCCATGGATCCCGCAGCCTAGATCGCCATATTCCAGACGCTCAGTCGCGCCACGAACCCGACTGCGCGCGTGTGTCGCTCTCGAGTATCCGCTCCACGCCGACCGAGACGCTCGAGAGAGGGTACCTGTTTGGACGTTTCTTTTTTTTTTGGGTCGACGACGACGACTCTTCTTGTAAGACCGCCGACGATTTTACACGGCAGTCGAAAGGTGTCGAACGGTGAGTCAACAAAGTGCGCCCGCTCGACCGACTCTCTTCGTTAGAACCGTAGCGTATAAGCGCGTCCGCGGGTCTTGTGCTGAAAATGGTGAATATACAATCATGTTACTGTCGTTACAGTAGTGTTAATATGATAATGCCCGTTATCGTTGCGCTGTCTAATTGTTCTAAAAAAAGAAGAGAGGATCTACTGATATAATATCGCACGACGTGTACACTCGGCGTTTCGAGTACACCTACTTTTGATCACTGTGATATCGACGTTAATAGCTTCCAAGCGAAACCAAAGAGATTTTCCGAGTAAATTACAGGTTCCTGAATAAATTACGGCATATTCTTCAAATCAAGCGAATGTCATATTAATAGAGTCGTTTAATTAATGAACGCTGCTAGCACACAGCGTTAATTAATTAAACCGAAATTAATATAAAATTAACTAATTATAAATTTATTGTACACATATTTAATTATTCGAAGTAGGCGAAATTATTATTTGAAGAAATATGTTAATGAAATGTTGACTTCAAATTTGCCGGCGAGTATAATTGAAGTGAAACAACGCTCGTGACACCTTTTACATGCAAGATCTTTAACGATAAAAGAAACGTTAAGTGAAGATGATATATAAATTATATATCCGCGAGAAGTGCAAACTGTATATCTCTGAAAAGCCCGTATCAGACTGCGGATTGAGATTAGATTGAATTTGACCAATTGGAGTACAAGTTGACTAGACTTTTGAGATTAGTAAACTTTACTCTGATTGGTTTTCAATCTACTCCCAAACTCAATACGTAGTCTGATGTGTATCACTATAAAAGTGTATCGCTTAGGCCCGTATTTATAGAGCCAATGATTCCGCTGAAAATCTCAGCTAAAACCAGTCTTGAGACGTGATACTGTTTAATAGATGAATCTTGAGACTCAATTTGATGTCTGTTTGTAATCTCGATTCAATAGAGAGTCTCTCAAAGTTTTAGAAAACAGTTTTTGGACTTCGTATCATCTAATAGCGTTTTCGATTTTCTGACTCG